TAACTGAGGACTTCTGGTGGCTGGAGGTTGAGGGAAGCAACGCATCACAACCAGAAGAATAATGAACAGATGATTTCCAATGCTTTAAAAACTCCTCTAAGGTGCAACTATGAAAGTCATTCTTTAATTTTCCAGGAATATCTTGGTGGTACCCAAATTGTTGGCTAAATCTATGTGGACTATATGGCTCAATGATGAGATAGTCATTTTGGCGCAGTGTCAAATAACATGATCGAAGACTGATTAGGGTGTCAGAGTCAGCCTTTATCATCTCACCATTATCCACAATGAGTCGCTGTTTTGAAGATCTTTTAACCATATGAGTTAAGTTTATTCCTTTACATAATTTGAATAAATTTTGTGTTTTAAAATCATCAAAGTATCTTGCTCCTCCTTCGCCTGCATATAATGTCATTCTAGGCCAATAATTGATATTAGGAACGGTGAAATTAGTTCTGAAATATTCACTTAACCAGCCAAATACATAGTGTATAGGAAATATTGCAGAGCAGCTTCCAGGAGCTGGTGAGGAAACAATCTCATTTAAGCCTCTGCAAATACTGGCCAAAACCGGGATGGAAAGACAACTATTACAGCTATCTGCTAACATGCTCGTAACCTTGAAAGTCCCAGGACGAATCATGTTGCCAGGGTGTGCAGGCAAGGCAAATTTATAGAGACAACATGCTAAAAAAAATAGCTAGATAAGTGGTGTCTCTTGATGCTTCATCTACACCAAGGTTGATAAATACTTCCTTCTCTTTGGCGGACATCGGCCGGACAAGAGGGATCACACCAGATGGGTTTTAAGTCCTCGTAGGGCGATGAACTTTATTTTTTGTTGTTCTCTTTGAAGGTTTGACATGTCTTGATGCACCTTTAAACCAAAAATTAATCTAGTCAGATATCTTTACGTTCTGATCTCCTTTATACTTCTTGGAAAGTCTGTGGAAGGCCAAAAATAGGTGTTGACAACTCAAGGGGAGAGAATTTTTGTTGTTGCCGGCTCTTGAGAGTTCATCTACGCAAGGAATAACTTCATCATAAATTGTTCCTTGATGAGGGAGACCGCCTAGCATATACAAATCTCGAAGAGAAATTGATAGCTCGCCAATAGAACAATGAAAAGTATTAGTGGCTAGGCACCAACATTCAAGGAATGCTTTGAATACATCTTCATGACGATTATAAGAAAATAGAGAGGCGAATAGAGCACCATATAGTTGTTGTTTTGATAGAAAGTCATGGAAACGCGCCAAGACATCTTCTAACCACTCCCAATATAGTTCGGTGTATGGCAATTCAACGAAAATTTTATAGGGAATACTCTATGATATTTCTTTCGCCTGAACATTGAAACCCAAGAGTGAAAACTGGTTTTTCTCAACAACTCTCTCATGAAGTGAAGAATTTAGTATCAAGACTTTAGAGACAATAGATTCTTCATTAATCTGATCAAGACCAACGTTGGTGAATTCGCATATGGCCATGCATAACCAATGAGATGAACAAATTTTATTGTCAGGATCAGGCACTTGAATAGCATTGCGACCAAAAAGTGAGTCATATACACTTAATGTCGTTCCTTGAACTCGTTGACTATTTTCGCTCTCTAAGATAGTCATCATTTTTTTTGCGAAACATTTGAACACCACCATGATGGAATAATAAAGCTCGATTGGTGTTGTCTAGAAGGAGGATTTCAAGTTCTGCTATGAAAAAAAAAAAAAAAAAAACTTCCAGGAAGCGTGAAAAAAAAAATAAAAATAAAAAAGAGCTTCCAGGAAGCGTGGAAAAAAAAAGAAGAAGAAGAAGAAGAAGAAAAAGAGAAGAAGAAAAAGAAAAGGCAAAAAAGAAAAGAAGAAGAAGAAAAATAAAAGAAAAGAACAGTCATACCTATGTGTTTTAGCAGATCCCGCAATCCAACACAATCTTCAGAAGCTGTAATCTTACAAGTCCTTCAGAGCCGATTGAAATTGATGTCAAACCCTATGACTTGGGTGGTATATATAGGCAAGGGATTTATATAAATTGGAAAGTAAAATTCCAGTCCAAAGTTGGATTGGAAAGCAAAAAAAAAAAAAAAAAAAAAAATTGAAAGTTGGATACTTCAAGTCCCACTTGAAAAATGAGACAAGTCTTGTTAAGTTTGGGACTTGAAGTGGGGGCAATTTGTAGACACTAAAATTTTAGTGGATTTTGATTTGGATAAATGGACCCTTTAAATATGGGCCTAATGTTTAATTAAGTTATTTAATTGGCCCAAGTTTGATCCACTTAAATTATTTAATTAAGCCCGGTCCAGATGGTTAAATAAAAAAGAATAATTATTCCTAATAAAATATATTTGGAATAATTATTTTTAAGAATAATTATCATAATATAACCAGTCCAGCCCAGTTATGATATTTTCCTTATCAGAAAGGACACGTGTCATCATCCTATGGATCTAAGAAGCCTATAAATATACGCCTGGAGGAAGGGAGCAGGGGACATAAAGTTAGAATTCAGAAATCTAGAATTCTAGAGAGAAATACAGAAACTCTTATCCCCAACATCCAAACCCAAAAGCAAAGAACACCAAGCACATCAAATCATGTTGTTCTTCGTCAAATTCCACGGTGATCAACAACAAGCACAGCCAAAGACGTGCCATTCTTCATCAAATTTTATGGTGATTCAAGAACAAGTTCATGCAGCCCTTGGATCCAACCAATCAACAAAAAAAAGGAGATTTATCAGAGGATCAGTTCTTTCTTTTGTAAAGAATATTACAGAGGATTGTACCTCAATTTATCAAATTAATAAAATTATATTATTTGCTTCATATTTTGTTTCTATTGCAGACTTACAAAGTTTGTGTGTACAATCCTCAGCTATATTGTATTACATTACAGGCCATTTGATATAGTCTAGTTTCCAAAACTCTTCTAATAGATAAAAAAAGACCGAAGTGAAAGAAATACACATGAACATATATATATATGGTCCAATAATAATTTTTATATATTACAACTTACTATAATCAAAATACATATATATATAAATTAATGTTTAAATGAACTGATCTTGGAGGAGGTAGAGCATAGAGAGCATATGCGCACAAATAGAAAATAGAGAGCAAAAATAGGTTTGATTGGATCAAAGGAATGCAAAAGCCTTTTTCTAGGCAGATGGGGTATAACGGTCATATTGGAGGGTCCTTTAGGGATTAATAAAAAATGTGTCAATCATGTCCATCACAATAATGAAAGAAAGTGGCTGGAGGTAAAATGTAAGGGGGCAAATTGTTTACTTTTGAAACTATAAAGACTGACTCGTTCACTTTTATATGTCAAGGAGGGTTTTTGGCACTTTAGTAGTGTTTAAGAATTGTGGCTCATATTCCTTGGCTTCTATTTTAAAGTTAATTTATATAGAAATTTATTGTACGGTACGCCTCAAAGTAAGGCAAGTTTTTGCCACGAAGGAATTATAATTCTTATTCATGAAAGAATTAGGTTTTGGGGTATAAATAAACACATAGGTTATTGTTAAGAGGTATGATTGAAGACATATGATTGAAGACATGTAAACCGTAAGATAGACTCGTGAGGGAGTGAGTGGTGCGTAATATAGTGGAATATCAAAAACCATGTAAATCTTATGTTGTGCAATGCTTTGTAAATGCTTTATTATTTTGGTTAGATCTTTATGTGGTCTTTTGTGTTCGATTGCTTTATGGAAGAGTGAGATCGGTCGTACTTAAGTTGAACCGGTCTCACTTGCTTCGTACTATTGCATGATTGTTGCCCCTTTCTTCTAACTCTAAACGAGAACAAGTTTAATTGAAGGGGATTACACTTTTAAGATCGATAAAGGGATTATCCTCACTGCGATTGATAAGTTTGCTTGATAAGTGAACTAACTAGAAATGCTCATTCGTAATTTTATACATACGAACCAAATTCAATAAAAATTGAGCTTAACACGACCATGAGATAAAGCTCGTTTCGTTTTATTAGATTATCTGACTTGGTGCACTTGAACTTGCTAAATCATGACCAGCTATTTGAACTTGTCACAATCGCAAGCCAAACCAATCTAACATCTGAGTTGAGCCTACAACAAGCAAGCCAAGCCCAAACAATTTAAATTTCAGTCTTGTCTACGTTTCGTTTGTACCCTTCACTAGTTATGAAGATCTTTTTCAAGTAAAGAGTTATGAACAACTTTTTTTTAAGAAAACAGGAAGTGTTTGGTCATATTGTGAAATAAACAAAAACGTAAGGAAACTACTCTAATTCATGGCAGCAGTCGCGGACAAGTTGTGTAACAAATTCGAACACGTATTAGTATATAATGTAACACAATTTTATTATGGCAGTCATAAATTTTTTTTCAACTCGCACATCAATTTCAAAATAAAATGATATGCTACTTCTTAAAACATAAATCAATAATAATGTGTTTTTAGTGAATTTTATTGAATTTTTTAAGACTATTTAGCACAAGTAATAAACCTATATATGAATTTTAAGTCGTTGTTATTAAAAAGGCTAAATAATTATAATTGTTAGTAAATTAATGAATTAAAATAGATTTTTTTAGTATGGAATAAATGAAGTCATTTAATATGTGAGAATAAAAAAAATCTAAAAATTAAAATTATATATATATATATAAAATAAAATATAAAATTACCAAGATAATTATGAATCATAACATATGTAACATGCATATAACCCAAAAAATAAATAAAAAATAAATTATCATCTGTGAGTGAAACTTACAAAAACCGGAACATAAATTTTTTTGAAATTAAGATTATCTGCGAAGCATATATTTGTTGAATAAAGCAATTTTTTACCTGATGTATTATGAGACATGATTATATTTAAACACTATAAATCTTATATATTTAAGTGAATCTGAGAACATATTATAATGTAGATATGAACAATAATTGCATGCCTACAGCGTATCCCACACCCCACTTATTATGACATTCTTTATGGGCATTAGGTATCATGGGGCTCAGTTTGGAAAATGTCGGGGACGAACTTGGCACTAAACCGGATAATCGGTGAGACCAAACTGTTATATTATTGTTATTGTTATTATTATTATTATTATTATTTATTTATTTATTTATTTTTATTATTATTATTATTATTTATTATTTTTTTTTTTTTTTGGTGGTTTACACAGGTCCCCCACTATAAATAAAGCATCTCATTTCCATTATAAAGCATATAAATCTCATGAACCCCTTTACGTACATTGAACCAACTTCAAGTCCCCGGATCTCTTTTTCAACCGATTTTTTTGATGAAGAAGATTTCATCTCCATAAAGTTGAGCTCCCAGACTGAAAGAGAGCACGAAAAGGCGCCAGAGAAAACGTGTAACAATGAATTTGAGTTCGTCTGTAGCAATTTTACTAGCCAAACGGCGATAAGGACTGCCGATGAGCTATTTTCCCAAGGGAAGTTGCTTCCTTTTCGCCAAACACAGCATTCAGAGAAACCAAACAAGACGAGTCTTAAAATGGGAGGAGTGGAAGAGAAGGAGGTGAAAAAGGAGGAGAGTAAGGTGAGTTGGTTTATGGATGATGATCCATCTCCTAGGCCTCCTAAGTGCACTGTTCTATGGAAAGAGTTACTGAGGTTGAAGAAACAACGCGCTTCTTCTTCTTCTTTATCGCCGCCATCTTCCTCTTCCTCGTCATCACGTTCTTCGAACTCAAAAGGCGATTTGGCTCCCATTGATGTAGGGAAAGAAGCATCCGGAAGGAGAGAGAAGCATGTCAATAGGATAAAGAATGGGTTGGTGGATAGGACAAGAACAAGATCAGCCACTGTAAGAATAAGGCCTTTGATTAATATGCCCTTTTGCACACAGGGGAAGAAGAATGCTTTGCCTCCTTTGTTTTCCCTTAAGAAAGGAAGACTAGAGGGGTCATGAGATGATGAGAAGGAAGTGGCAACTATTCTTTTGTTATTGTTATTATTTAGTAATTAATAGAGATATATATATATATATATATATATATATATATATATATATATATTGTAAATTTCCTTTCTTTGTTTCTATGTATAGGAGAATATTGCTCATGTGTGTGACTACTTACAATATAAATGATGACTTTTATTTTTGTTGGATGCCATCAACTGCCAGTTCATTTAGGTTGTGATTACATTTTTTTTTTTTTTTTTTTTTTTTTTTCTAAAACTACTTCATCTAGTTTTCTTTTTGGTTAATGGTAAGCTTTAATAAATGAAAAATAAGAATGTACAAGAGATAGTCCACACAGGACACTACAAGCCCAAAGCAACCAAGAATACACAACAACTAACTATAACACATACATAATCAAACACATCTACTTAACCACACAACCAACAGTACCAATCCCAAGCAATAATCCACTTCCTGTATCAGAGAACCATAGTACCAGATAGCAAACCACTGTTAATCAGTGAGACACCAGGTCTGTCCTCCAGCAAAGGAGCATCCCTGCATGAACAATTGGAGTAAGTCTTCTTGATCTCCAAGTAGTCTAAGTTCACCACCATTCCTCAGCTTCAGAGATGCAAGCTTGGCTCTTATACAGCTTTTGATGAGACAGATAATGTGTTGAGAAGATGCAGATCTGTTCCCAAAAGCCCTTGCATTCCTCTCCAACCAATAAAATAAATTTCAGCATTGAGGCCGGAGAAGCTTGTGGATATTGTACTTCTTTGAGTTCCATGTGGCAGGACACCAATTGATGAAATCACCCCAACTGTTAGGCAATATATAGAAACCTGCTACTTGCTTAATGAACTTCCAAATATGAGCACTGAAGCTGCACTTGAAGAAAAGGTGGTCCGGTGATTCATTAGTACCAGAGAGGTAAAGAAAGCATGTATTAACATAAGACTTTTGTTCCTCACTGGCTTTGAATCTAGTGTATACAATTTGCCTCTACATGCAAGCCAAGTAATCACACTCTGCTTGGGAATGTTGATCTTGAACCAAACTAGATGAGACCATGCAAATGAAATTGAGGGTGAAGTGAGGTACTTGATGGCATGATATAGTGAAAACTGGTTGGTAGGGCCTGGAATCCATATCACAACGTCATTCTCAGCAATAGCTAGAGGAAGAACTTGCAACTAAGAGATGAACACTTGTGAATGGCAGAATGGTAAATGCTATAATGATGGTGGAATCACCCATTGATTAGCGGAAATTAGGCTATCAATTGTGATACATGGATCCAGTTGAAGAATTTCCACATCAGATAGGTTGAGTTATGAACATAATGGCCCATCTGGCAACCAATAATCTAGTCACATCATGGTGTCAATGCCTGCCCCTACTCTATTCTTGATCAGTCTTCTGGCCATACCTCTCAACTTGAGCAACCTCCTCCAAAGTCCAAAACTTAAAGCAGAAGCCTTAATAGTCCATAGAGACTTTTGCCTTAATAAGATATCTATGAGTGCTAGCCCATGCAACCCGAAGGCTATCCTTCATAGAACATAATTTCCAAATATGCTTAAGGTTGGATATCAAATTAACCATTTCAAGGTTAGGAAACCCTAACTCCCCCATAACACTTTTGTCTGCAAACAGAAACTCATGCCACTTTAGCACCCCTCTTCTCTAGATCAGTACTAGACCAGAAAAAAGATCTAAGAATTTGGCTGACCTGTTCAATCACTCCCTTTGGTAGAACAAATGTTTGGGACCAATAAGCATTTATAGTACATATAATTGACTTATTAAGCACTGTCCTTCCATCATAGGACAGGACTCTTGAGGTCCACCTATCCATTCTAGCTGTAATCTTCTATACTACAGTTTAGATGTGACATCCTTGAATATTTTTTTTTCGGACATTTTTCTTTTTATTTTATTTGTGTTGGAAATGGCATTAGAAAACGCAAACTTTGGAAGGATTTTTAAAAGATTTCGCTAAGAATTTTTTGCGAATCTATTGACGAGCGCGTTCCTCTCTGCGAGGAGATGAACGTGGTATATTTATTTTCTCAAATCCGTTTCCGGGTGAATGAGAAATTGGCTCCAAAGTAAGTGATTTATAAAGCCTAAATGGGTGTGAATAAAGTGGGAAATGCTTGTCCCACATCGAAAAAGTAGCAAAGCAACCTTGAGTATATATATGTCTAGTATAGGATTTGGGTTTGGGCCCAAGGGCACCCAAGTTTTTAAGAGGGGGAGGACCTAGGCTAGCCTGGATCCGAACCAACTACCACACGCGCGCACCGCCCGCCCGGTCCGGTCGGGGCGGGGCTTAATTGTAAAATGGGAAGATAAAATTGAAGACATCAAAGTTTTCTCTAAAACTTCTTCATCCACCTATCATCGCGATGATTATAACAACATCAAAGATCAACTCAATTGCTCGATTTTTTCAGCCTTATCAAATATGGTATCTCAAGCTCACCGCACATGATGAGTATGAGCGTGATTTTCCTTTTCAGTTTTTCTGAAAGACAAAGAAGATGTTTTTTATGTTCGTCTCTGGTTTTAGAGAAAACTAAAATATCATCAATATAAACAACAACAAAATCTTTAAGATCATTAAAGATAGAATCCATCCATCGTTGAAAGATTTGTGGTGCTGTGTTAAGACCGAAGGGCATAACGGTCCATTGATAGTGTCCGCGAGGAGTACTAAACGCCGTGAGGGGCTTGGATTTTTTCCGCAGTTTTATTTGCCAAAACCCAGCCTTACAATCAAACTTGCTAAAGATTTTAGCTCCACGAGTTTAATTTATAAGAACATCTTTGCGAGGGATAAAATATCCATCACCCATCGAAGAAGACCCAAAGCCTAGCCCTAGATCCAAAAAATCTAAAGCTATTTCTTTAACTTTAAAAGACCAAACAGTCGTTGAGATGCATTTGAATCTCAACGACTGTTTGGTCTTTTAAAGTTAAAGAAATAGTTTTTTCTTTTAACTGTAAAGGAAGGTAACTATAGATAAAGTTACATCCTACAATGGGTCTAACCTTTTTACACAAAGTTGGACTGGGCCTGTGTGGTTATTTTATTTACTAGACTTATTTAAGTGGGCTTGCGGGTGGAGCACGCTGGGCTGGGCTGCCGAAGTTTGCTTGCTGGGCTTAATCTGTTTTGGGTTTAAATTCAAATCAAAAACTGTTTTTTTTTTTTTTTTTTTTGAACCAAGGGTTGCACCCTTTACAAATTAAAAACCACCAACAGATTTTAATTTGGATTGGTCAACAATGGTTGCACCCATTCGGACTATGGGTGCACCCATTCAGAATAGGCACCAACAAGCCTATAAATACCCATCATTGGGTTCATTTCAATTCACACCAATTCAGAAATCTTCTTCTCTTCTTCTGAATTTCTTCTTCCAATTCTTCTTTGTTCGGTTCAGCCACTGGTTTGGGTTCAACCTAAACTGGTTTGGATTGGGTTTGAACTTTGGTTTCCAAGTTTGGGTTCAATCTTGGTCTCCGAGTTAGGGTTTAATCCTGGTCTCCGAGTCTGAGTTCAACAGAGAGTACTACACCGAGCCGGTTCGCCTATTCCATTGGTTTGAAGTGCTACTACCAAAGGAAGAAAAGTCGTTGTATCCTGGGAGATAGACGCCGAAGAGTCCGTTAGCGCCATAGCGGGGCGTATCTATCTTAAGGCTATAGAATTAAATTCTAGCCTCGACTTTATCAGGTTCTTTTTAGTTTTATTTTCTTGATATTAAACTATATAAATATATATATAGATTATTATAATAAATATTATATTTACAAATAATATTTAAATAAATTATACTACAGTATATGATACATTATTTAATCAACAATCTTAAGACAGATATCTTTATACTATAGTAATAATTATTTAATTATTATTGTTGTTATAATTATTATAATTTGACTCGTGGTCTGTATATCAATATATAACAGACAAATGGCAAGTACGAGTATTACCGTGCCTAATGTTCCCGTCAGTCATGGGGAGAAGCCCGAAAAATTCAACGGGACGGAGTTTAAAAGGTGGCAACAGAAAATGATGTTCTACCTTACAACTCTGAATCTAAGCAAGTATCTGACTGAGACTGCTCCAGTGTTAGATGAGGGTGATACAGACATTACCAAGCTTGGAGCTGTTGATACATGGAAGCATGGAGACTTCCTATGCAAGAACTACATCCTCAATGGATTGGATAACACCTTATATAATGTGTACAGTCCAATAAATACTGCTAAAGAGCTTTGGGAGTCATTAGACAAAAAGTATAAAACAGAGGATGCTAGCTTGAAGAAATTCGTGGTTGGACGATTTCTGGACTTCAAAATGATAGACTCCAAGACAGTCGTGAGCCAAGTGCAGGAGCTCCAGCTGATCCTACATGAGATACATGCTGAGAAGATGACATTGAGTGAATCCTTTCAAGTAGCTTCAATCATTGAAAAGCTGCCACCTACTTGGAAAGATTTCAAAAATTACTTGAAGCATAAGCGCAAGGAAATGGGGCTCGAAGACTTAATTGTCAGGCTGAGAATTGAAGAAGATAACCGTACATCTGAAAAGAGAGCCGGAAATTCTTCAATGGTGTCAAAGGCAAATGTAGTGGAAGCAGGACAGAAAAATAAGAAGAGGAAGCACTCTGGAGAAGGTCTTAGCCAAAGAAACTACAAGAAGTTCACTGGGAAGTGTTTCATATGCGGCAAGCTATGACACCGAGCTAAAGATTGTCGTAGCCGCAAAACACATCATAACCCCAAGAAGAAGACCACTGAGGTTCACATAGCTGAAGAAGATAAGTTGACAGCTGATGTATCAGAGTTAAATCTTTCAGCTGTGGTTTCTGAAATCAACCTGGTAAGCAACAACAGAGAATGGTGGGTGGACACAGGAGCTACTCGTCATGTTTGCTCTGAAAAGAGGATGTTCACTACCTATGAAACTATAAATAATGAAGAACAACTC